CTAGTTTAAAATACTCCCTTTGTTTTTTGTTGTCCCTGGGTAGGGGTGGGGGTGTCCCACTGTGTGCCAGGTCCTGAGATAGTGAGATAGAAGCCAGTCCCTTGGGTAGCTTCCAGAGAAGTTAGAAAATTGGATGCAAGGTCCATCTCAAGGAGATGGTGGGAGCTGGAGCTGGAGTTTTCTACCCATTCATTTGGCAGTAGGCCAGGAGGAGGAGCTATGGTGAGTTTGTGTGCTAGTTCAAACTGCCATCTTTGTTCTTGGTGGCCCTCAGATATCTTAAATCTGCTGGATCCCATCAGCACTGAGACTGATGAGATAGAAGCCAGTCCCTTAGGCAAACCCCAGAAAAGTCGGAATGTTTGACACACAGTCCACCTCTTTCCTTCTCCAGGGAGAAGCTGGGAGCTGAAATTTTCCTCCCACTCACTCTGCATTGAGCAGGGAAAGGAGCTGTGGTGAGTGCCTGCATGCTAATTCAAACCAGTGCTTCTGTTCTTTGTAGTCCCTGGGGCCTAGGGTATGCCAGGTCTGATCAAGCCTCCAAGACAGGCAGCACTCAGAAAAGTGGAGTCATTAGATGTGCACTCCAACTTCTTTTCTATTCAGGGAGAAGCTGGAGGTTTCCTCTCAGTTGTATGGCACTATCCCACGAATGGGGATCATGGTGAGAAGGTGTCTCCAGTTTTCCTAATAGTTTCGATATGGCTGGCTTTACCCTTGCCTAGTGTACAGGATTCTCTTAATGAGTTTCTAGATTTCTCACAAAGGGAATTGATCCATGTATTGCTGTTGAGTTGATGTGTTTGTGGGAGTCAGGAGAATCTAGCACTTATTCCACCATCTTGCTAATGTTACTCAAAATACTATTTTTGTAAGTGATCTTTAATATCCAACAACTTTACTGAGGTTAATTTTTTATTCTCTTGGTTTTTCTAGTTCGATCATCATATTATCTGCATATTGTTAGATTTATCACTTCCCTTACAGTCCTCATACTTGTTATTTCCTTGCTTATAATGGTAGCCGGGACTGTCTTAATTGGTAACATTGGTAATGGGCATCCATTTCTTTTTCCCCATCTTTTAAGGAGCATATCTGAAGTTCTTCACTTAACTGCAGTTTTTGCCATAGTTCTGATAACTTTTACCAAGTTAACAGTATTACTTTGTAGTGCTAATTTGGTCAGAGTTATCATAAATAGGTGTTGGCCACATCCTACAATTTTTCTGTATCTGTCAAGATGATCATGGTAGTTTGTGGTCTGTTTCAACAACAGTTGTACCCTGTGGTGTGTGGCCATTTTGGCCTGTGAGTTCATGTTCCCAAGAGGATATCAATCACCTTGTGTGGCAGTGTGCCTGGGGAGGGGTGAAGAGATAGATCCAGGCCTGTTCCCCTCCAGGTAGATTTAAGAAGTGGGAGGAGATAAGCTCAGGATGACAAGCCCTAAGACCTCAGGATTCACCACTGATAACTTTTATTTGCTACTGCTCTACCAGGTAATTCTTCTCATCAGGGTTTGCTCTTTCAACATTCACAAAGCAGCAGCATCTACAGGAAGAGTATGCCTTCTCTTTTTGTAATCCACCAGCTCTAGGGGTTTTAATAGCTGAGACGGTAGAGGAGCAGATGCCTGAGAGCAGATGGTCCGCCATATTCTGTGCAGCAGGACTTTTTCTTTACCATTAGGTTATCCTACTTAGCTGCTTGAGCAGTTGCCACCAGTTTCTGTCGTAAAGGCACAGGCAACATTGGTCCCAAAGCATTTCAGGGAAAGGCTAAATCAGAATTTAAAGACCTTACGACCAGGCCATCCTCTCCTTGCCTCCTGTTACCATTTCTCCAGGCAAGTAGCCTCCACCCTCAAATACACGCAAGTTTGCACCAGTTTTCAGTCTCTCTAGAATATTTCACAGTTTGCATCAGTTCCATATAAAACCAATTCTCTATAATTTCTCCAGGGTTAATTGAGAAATAAAGCCAGAATTTTGTGTACATTCTGAGATTAGACAGAAACTTTCGGGGTTTTTAAAAATATATTTTCATTATTGTATTATCAATTTCTAAGAATTTTGTGTGTGTATGTTTTCTTAGTGTTCCTTTATTTAGCATCTTGAGCCCTTTTAATTTGGTTAGCTCTCTGAGGTTATTCATTATATGTTTTGGCATTTTCTTGTGTTCCTTGTTCCGTTTTCTCACAGATACTTTTTTCTCTTTTGGGCGCTTCTTCATGTTAAGAAACATTTCTCAAATGTCTAATAAATAATGACTTACTGCTCATTTTTAAGTATGAGATGCTAAAAAGATGATTGACTTCTGTGTAGTAGGGATTGGGTCTTGTTGATTTTAGGATGATCTGGTAGGGTTAATATACTGAGGACAGCCCACTTTTGGTAACTTGGTCTTTTATGCATAATCTTCCTGAGAGAAGAGACCTTTACTTTCATTCCTAGTTGAGGGAGTTATTATCAGTGTTCCGGTGGTTAAATTGGGGTGAAGTCAACAGGGTTATTTCAGTATTGTGGCCTGGACAAATTTTCTCGCAACAAATGGATGTCTTATACTTTAACTCAATTCTGACACTTCCTGGAGTTAACATCAGATTCCACAAGTTAAAGGGCAAGGTGCCCACCGGTTCAGATACTAGTTGCAACCAGGATCCCCAGGCTACCCGTATTTCTGTCTGGCTGACTAAGTTTAGAGTTTTACATACCTCCTCAGGTTTGATAATTCATTAGAATAACTTGCAAAACTAAAAAACCAAAAAGAACAACTCACAAAACTCATGAAAAGCACTGTACTTATGATTGCCATTTTATGTAAAGGATACAATGAAAAGTTAGCTGAAGACATAACACAGGGTGAAGTCTAGGAGGTACCAAGAAATTGAAGTGTGTTATCCTCCAGGTACATTATGTAGTTACCAACCAGGAAGTTAGTAACCAGAAGGTTACCCCAATCCTTGCCCTGAGTTTTTTATTGATTATGTAGTCATGAGTGGCCAGACCCTCCCTTGAAGCTAATCACCGCATTAGGAAAACTTAGGTATGATCAAAAGGAGCTTGTGAATAACAAAAGACTTTCTGGTCAGGAAATTCCATTGGTTTGTGGGGCTCTGTGCCGGGAACCAGGAACGGAGACCAGATATATTCTTTATTTTATCACAAGTGTATATATTTTCTGTTAATCTTTGTCCTTAATTCAATACTGGTAGCCACAACTATGCCTGATGTTCCTGAATCCAGATTCCTTCTGGTTCCATATTTCTGTATTTCGAGTTTTCTGTGAGAATAAGGAAGTATAATCCTGTATGGGATAGGAGAAGGGATCCTAGGGGTCTTACTAGTAATATAATCTTGAATTCATTCTTTAGCTTTCAGCATTCTCTATGTATCCCACTATTAGAAATGCCTGATACCTTCAATTTTTGTTCATTTTAGGGGATCTGCACTATGAATTAGTGCTGTGGAATTCATCTGCTGCAGGCTCAGTTTGACTTTCTCTGGTCTGCAGACTCACTTATCACTCATTCATTGGCTTCTTAGCTTCCAGATTTTATTGTTACTGTCCCTTCTCCAGTGTTCACTGTCCTAATGAGGTTTTTCTTTCCTCTTGTTAAGCTTCCACTCTAATTTTCCTCTGAATTCATGAAGAGGCAATGGAAAACTCATAGGTCTAGTCTGTCATTTTTAACAGAAATTGTCCCCCGCCTTTTTTAAGATTTTATTCATTTATTTGACAGAGAGAGAGATTACAAGTAGGCAGAGAGGCAGGCAGAGAGAGAGAGGAGGAAGCAGTCTCCCTGTTGAGCAGAGAGCCCGATGTGGGGCTCGATCACAGGACCCTGAGATCATGACCTGAGCCAAAGGCAGAGGCTTAACCCACTGAGACACCCAGGTGCCCATTTGTCCCCCTTTTAAATTAGATGTACAGTTGACACTCATTACAGATTCCATATGTATGAATTCACCTACTTGCTGAAATTCGTAAACTCAGAATCAATACTTGCAGTGCTTTCATGGCAGACGTACAGAACGGCAGAAAATTGGACTTGGAGTACCTATCTTCTTCTCACAGTATATTTCATTCATATATATATATATCTTATAAACATTCTTATATATTCTTCTTTCTCATATTCAAGCTGCCTGCTTTCTCTCCCAAAGTCAGCATCAGAGAATCCCAAGGTAAACTATTTTCAGTGAACCCCCAATATATCAAGCCCTATCCATAGAATTACCTGAAACCATTTTTGCCAGTTTCAGCAGCTTAGACTAGGGTATCCCCCAATATGGATTTGCCAACAACACACCCTTTGCACAGTTTCAGACTGTACCCCCCCATTCATACATTTCACCACATTTATTTTATTATTATTATTTTTTTATTTGATAGAGAGAGATACAGCCAGAGAGGGAACACAAGCAGGGGGAGTAGGAGAGGGAGAAGCAGGCTTCCCACAGAGCAGGAAGACCGATGCAGGTCTTGATCCCAGGACCCTGGGATCATGATCTGAGCTGAAGGCAGACGCTTAACGACTGAGCCACCCAGACGCCCCCATTTCACCACACTTATTCCTCCATGGTCTTCTTATGTAGGTCAAACAATTATCCACAAATTTTAAGGTATTCAGTATGGTGCTGTGTGTGAGAGTATATGCTTATAAACATGTATATATGATTAGAATCACTGTAAAATACAGAGGGTATCCCTGAATAGGGTATATTTATGGAAGTTTCAGGTGATTCTGATTGACATCAGAGTTTCAGAATAGAGGGCATTTATTTCTCTAATCACCCTCTTAGATTTCCTCTCTTGGCTCTCCTCAATGTCCATGCTTTTGTTACCAGTTTTGAAAATTGCTTAGCCATATTCGAGAACTGTTTAAGCATTTACTTTCCCAGATATTATTTTTACTTTAATCTTTTTTCTTTTTTAGAAGTTTCAGTCTCTCCCAAGATAGGAAAAATGAACACACGCATTTTTATTTCTTTCAGATCTGGAATCTATGTGTGAGACCAAGATACTATCCCTAAAGAAGAGACATTTTAGTCAAGTAATATTTACCCATGAAGACATGCCCACTTTTATTCAGCCCACATTTCTTACTCCACATCAAAAAACTGTTAATGAAGAGAAACCCTGTGAATGTAAGATATGTGGAAAGGCCTTTAATCAGAACTCACAATTCATTCAACATCAGAGAACTCATTCTGCTGACAAAAGCTATGAGTGTAAGGAGTGTGGGAAGACCTTTAGCCGTGGCTCACTTGTTACTCGACATCAGAGGATTCACACTGGTGAAAAACCCTATGAATGTAAGGAATGTGGCAAGGCTTTTAGTTGTAGTTCATATTTTTCTCAGCATCAGAGGATTCACACTGGTGAAAAACCCTATGAATGTAAGGAATGTGGAAAAGCCTTTAATTATTGCTCAAACCTCAATGATCATCAGAGAATCCACACTGGTGAGAAACCCTATGAATGTAAAGTATGTGGAAAAGCCTTTACTAAGAGTTCTCAACTTTTTCCACATCTGAGAATTCATACTGGTGAAAAACCTTACGAATGTAAGGAATGTGGGAAGGCCTTTACTCAACACTCAAGGCTTATTCAACATCAGAGAATGCATACTGGTGAGAAACCTTATGAATGTAAGGAATGTGGGAAGGCCTTTAGTAGTGCCTCAACACTTACTAACCATCATAGAATTCATGCAGGCAAGAAACTCTATGAATGTAAGGAATGTGGAAAGGCCTTTATTCAGAGCTCAGAACTTATTCAACATCAGAGAATCCATACAGATGAAAAACCTTATGAATGTAATGAATGTGGGAGGGCTTTCAATAAAGGCTCAAACCTTACTAGACATCAAAGAATTCATACTGGTGAGAAACCCTATGACTGTAAGGAATGTGGAAAGGCCTTTGGTAGTCGCTCTGACCTTATTCGTCATGAAGGAATTCATATTGGGTGAAAGATAAGCTCTGTTGATAATCTTTATAACAATATACTTAAAACAGGCAAGGGAAAAAAACAAAACAAAACAGTGTAGTAGTTTTTTTAGGCTACTGTAACAAAGTCACCACCAAAATGGGGTGACTTAAAACAACAGAAATGTATTTTCACAGTTTTGGAGCTCTGAAATCCAAAATTAAAGTTTTTGGTAAGGTTGGTTCCTTCGGAGGAAGATTTTATTCCGTGTCTTTCTCCTGGCTTCTGTTAATAGCAGTCTGTGACATTCCTTGTCTTGTAAATGCAGCACTCCAATCTCTGCCTCCATCTTTACATTTCATTCTCCTTGTATAAATTTGTCTCTGTCTTGTATACAAGAGGAGACTCATACAGGACATCAGTCATATTGGATTAGGGCTCACCCTTATGACCTTACTTTGGTTACATCTGCACAATGACCTTATTTCCATGTAGGATCACATTCACAGGTGCCAGAAGTTCGGACTTCAACATAGTTTAACCCACAACACTGTTAACGATGTTTTTCTAACATATTTGTAGTTTTCTTGTATACATAATTTGTTGAATCTATTTCAAAATGTAAATTCAAGGTTTAAGTAAAACCTCTCTTCCCTCCAAAAAAGATTCTGTCTCAAGCTAGTTCTTAAATAATTCTTTCCTCCCCATTGTTTTATGCTGCTTGAGTTTGAGTTTGTTAGCTTAGTTTTAGAGCCATCTTTTCTATTGCTCTGCCCTATAGATCTGTTTCTACCAATACCATACTATAAGTTACATTACATAGACTATCTTCTAATTCCTGGCAGAATTCTAACTCTGTTTTTGAAGGCAGCTCTATTTCTTTCCCTTCTGTAACACTAAAGTTTTCACGTTTTCAAAACGAAACAAAACAAATACAAACAAAACCTTCACACACACAGTGAAAAAAAAAAGTAGGTTATTTGTAAGCCTACCAAAAATAAATTACTATTTTCAAATTATACAACATATCCTTCCAGACTTTAGTGTAATCATGATGTGCATGCTATACCATAACCTGTTTATCATTCTTTTTAATGGTATCATAATAATCTTTTCTGTGGTAGATTATCATTTTGCTAAATATTACTGAATACTCTATGGTTCTCACTGAAATTTTACAGTTATAAAAGTTGCCTTCTAAATACAAAGTTAGTGCTTTTGTTTGTTTTTCTTTAAAAACATTACATTTCAATGTCAAAATACTGTTCAGTATTTTCTCCTTGAAAAATATTGCCAATAGTTTCAGTTCTGTCATTGTAATCACGTTATTGGTTTATCCTTCCAGACCCTTTTTTTTTTTTTTTAAAGATTTTTATTTATTTATTTGACAGAGATCACAAGTAGGCGGAGAGGCAGGCAGAGAGAGAGGGGGAAGCAGGCTCCCCACCGAACAGAGAGCCCGATGCAGGGCTTGATCCCAGGACCCCGGGATCACGACCTGAGCCGAAGGCAGAGGCCCAACCCACTGAGCCACCCAGGCGCCCCCCAGGCCCTTTTTTAAAAAAACTATTTTTGCTTATAAATGTGTACACACTCAACCAAATACATAAATACGTGCAATACTTATAGAAAAGTTAGTGCTGCTTTATAGTTGATATGTATAATTTTATGTATGAATGTATATACACATGTACGCACACAGTAATGTGTTGGATTGCTGTGAGGATTAAATGAGTTAAGAAATGTAAAATGAGGGGCACCTGGGTGGCTCTCATTTGGGTCTCTGCCTTTGGCTCAGGTTGTGATCCCAGAGTCCCAGGATCAACTCTTGCATCGGGCTCCCTGCTCAGCGGGGAGCTGCCTCCTTTCTCTCTCTGCTCCTCACCCTGCTCATACCCTCTCCCTCTCTCCCTCAAATAAAGAAATAAAATCTTTAACAATGACAACAAAAACGTAAAATGACGGTTACTGGGGTGGCTCAGTTGGTTAAGCATCTGACTCGATTTTGGCTCAGGTCATCTTCTCAGGGTCGTGAGATCAAGCCCCGTGTCGGGCTCCATGCTCGGTGAGAAGCCTGCTTGGAATTCTCTCCCTCTGCCCTACTTCCCCCCTGCTTGAGCTCATTCTTTGTCTCAAAGGGAAAAAAGGGGGGATTGTTCCTAACATGTAGTAACTATCTAGCAGATGTTACGTAATACTAGTATCAGTACCTCCACCATTATTATTATTTGTAGAAAGGACTTTAACCATGTTATACACCTTAGTTGACATCAAACGACCAATAGGTGCAAATGTTTGTAGAAAAGCTTCTCACCCACATTTATTCCTTATTCAGCATGAAGTTTTAAAAAGGAAAAAAAAAATCCTAGGATATAAAAGTCGAGTAAGAGAAAGAATGGTTGAATGAGTCTACATTTACACCTGTATTTCATGCTGTGCAATAATTTTATGCCTGTCCAAAAACCTATTTACATATTGAGAATAACAAAATTCATTTGTCAAAACAGTAGGGAAAGATAGGAAATATTTACTCAAATCACTTTCCACCCAAAGACGTGTGGGTCGTATTCTTTTTCAAAATGGGAAAAACTAAAATGTGATCACCACCAATATCTGAATATTGATAATACCCTTCCAAATAACATGAATCAGAAGGAAATCAATCCCTGAATTATATTTAAATGAATGAAAATGAACACATTATGTAGAAAAACCTGAGAGCAGCTAAATCTGTATTCAGATAAAGTATAGCCCAATGGGCATGCTGGTGTTTTGTATTTTTCAAGTTTTAATTTGAATTACATTTAGTTAACATACAGTGTAATATTAGTTTCTAGTATAGAGTTTAGTGATTCATCACCGACATAAAACACCCAGTGTTCAACGCATCAGCTGTTATCAACAATCAAGTGTTCTCATCATCCATTTAATCCATCCCCTGCCCACTTCACCTCCAGTAACCTTCAGTTTGTTCTTTATTAGTTAACCTATTTTCTGGTTTTAGGGATGCTGATAGTCAAACACCAAGAGATTATTAATAAATGAACTAAATGTACAAGACAAAAAGCAAAAAGAATAACAGCAAACTACATTCAAATATATTAAAGGTATTAGGAAAAATAAAAGCAAAGGAAAATAAAATTACTTCTTTGGCAGAAAAAAATACAGATATAAACTGGTAATTCTGAGAAAGAAAAATAGAAGTCAGATGAATACATGAAATATGGACATGATTAGGAGATTATCATATTTACTAATAATTGGAAATCTAGACAAAGAATACAATATTTGTAGAAAAATGTAATTTGTCAGAATTAGGAGGTATAAACCCTTAATAGAGTAAAATGATAAGTGCAGGGGGGAAGAAGTTTTAATGTAGTCAAATAGGTGCACTCTGATCAAAAACCAAACCAAGTGTTATGGCCAAAATTTATCAAATATTTAAGGAACTTCCAAATTGAAGGAGCTAACAAGCTCACCATCAGTTTTTATGAATCTTATATACTGCTGATGTCAAAATAACTAGATCACAAAAACATAATTTATTATCATAGAACTAAAAGCACAAATTTATTCTTCAGTCTATTAAATTAAAACCAGTATTCACAATCTGAACCCATTACCTGAAATCAGAAATCAAATACTTCATTTTTTGTTTTTTAAATATTTTACTTATTTATTAGAGTGCAGGTACACACAGCAGGCAGAAGGGGCAGAGGGAGAAGCAGAAGCAGGCCCTCCTCTGAGGAAGGACCTAAACTGAAGGCAGACGCTTAACCGATAGACATCCAGGCGTCCCAGAAAACAAATACTTCAAATAAAACCTTACTATCACACTGAAAATCAGGAGAGAGCAAACTAATTTAGACCACTACCTGTTTTTGTATGGCATGCAAGCTAAGCATGGTTTTTACATTTTAAAGTGGTTGAAATTAAAAAAAAAAAGTAACCTGAAATTATATGATATTCAAACTTCAGTGTTTCATAAAGTCATTAAAACCACATAAATTCATATATTGTCTGGCTACTTTCATGCTATAACATAATTGAGTACCTGTAATAGACAAAATGGTTTGCAAAGCCTATAATATTTACTATCTGCCCCATTATAGAAAAAAATTGTCAATTCTTGCTCTAGATAGTCACTTGCTAAAAAACAGAAGTCCTATTGATTTGGTTAACTTAGTATTCTGTGCTATCCAAACTGAGAAAACAAGTAGATGTTGGATAAAGAGGGATTCTTGAAATGCAATGAAAGATAATTCTGTGGCAAATTCTGGAGTTTATATATCTAAACTCCATAACAGTTTAGAATTTGAGCAAGTCCCAGCATCATCTTTTATAACATATTTTTATTAAAAACATAATATGTTACATGCTATATATAAAATCAATGTGGATATAATGAGTAACTTTATGAGGTACCTCCTCCAAGTACCATGTCTGCATCTTAACTATAACCTTCTAATCCGACATCTCACGATGCACAGCAGCATATCAAAACAATGCAGTTAAGAAAAACAAAAAGACTGGGGCGCCTGGGTGGCTCAGTGGGTTAAAGCTTCTGCCTTTGGCTCAGGTCATGATCCCAGGGTCCTGGGATCGAGCCCCACATCGGGCTGGCTGCTCGGCAGGGAGCCTGCTTCCTCCTCTCTCTCTGCCTGCTTCTCTGCCTACTTGTGATCTCTGTCTGTCAAATAAATAAATAAAATCTTAAAAAAAAAAAAAAGACAAAACCCATTTAACTGGTTTATATGACCATAAATCAAACAAATTTAACATGAAATCCTGTGTGCTCCTAGTTGCTGTTAACATCTTTGGGAAGTGTGTATGTTTGGGATTTCTGTTTTGTTTTTTGGCAAAAGTCATGAGTCAAAGGGTGAAATTAAGGAAGATATTACAGGTAAGCTAGGAATTTGGGGATAGTGCATTTCCCATCTTCCTAATATCAGGCATTACAAGATGCTAGACAGTACCTGGAAACCATTAAAAATACTAAGATGCCTGATTTTAAAAAATACTAAGATAGTTGATAAGTACATGGATAAACATAAAAACTACTGTAATATTGGTTTGCAACTCAAATTCCTTAATGAGATTTAATCTTAATGGCTACACAAATATAAAGATGTAATTTGTGTTATCAGT